ACAATTCGAAAATGACCTTTAACGCCCCTTGTCCTTTGTTATCGACTAATTAGTACATGTATCACATATGTATGTAAGGATTAAAGTACATCTCCTTAACATTTAGGATGATATGCAAAACAGTTTAGTTGAAAGATATTGAAATTCCTACATGGACGTTAATTTGGCAAAGAAAGCTTTCTTCTTTATTTGTATTTTTTTATTTTTTTTTATTTTTATTTATTTATTTATCAATTTTTCTATTTATTTTCATTTTTCTATTCATTCATTTATTTATTTTTGATACTTTTTAACGAATTGGTAGAAAAAATATTCTTCAGGGAACGAAGTTTTTTTTGTATATGTAATGCTATCTGAAAGTTGGCAGATTTATTTGGATGCGGTACAAAATAAATATTGCATAGTTCTGTAGGCGTACATATTTTAGCGGTGTTCTAACTTTAGCACATTGTGCGTTTTAATTATCACGCTAATGGAAGTTTGTTTATATAGTTTCNAAAAGGAAAAGACTAAAAAGCTTCCGGAAAAGGTCTTAATTTAGGACTTATCTTAGCGTTTAATGGACTTTTAATGATAAGCGCTTTGATGAATTGGCGCACTCACAATATTCCGTCTTTGCGTATTGCAGAGTTATCTTCTCTTGGGAGCAGGTATTGATTGTTACGTCATTGGTCTGTGTGAGAAAATTACGTCGTTTTCTCAAAAATTAATGACGTTTCTCTCACAAACAAGTGACGTAACAATCAATACCTGCTCCCAAGAGAAGATAACTCTGCAATACGCAAAGACGGAATAGTGTGAGTGCGCCAATTCATCAAAGCGCTTATCATTAAAAGTCCATTAAACGCTAAGATAAGTCCTAAATTAAGACCTTTTCCGGAAGCTTTTTAGTCTTTTCCTTTTCATGCAGTCAGTTAAAATCCTTGATATGAATAAGTCTGTCGTTTCAGTGGTTACAAATTTCTTTGAAAATCAATTTAATATCTAAATATTAAGACAGAGATATAATGTTTGCGATGTTTTAGAAAAGAAATCTGTATCGTTTGGTCTGCATAGCCAGACATTACATCATCTTATCTTGAAATTATATCTTTTCAATCAAGACAACACATCGTTTTAATTGGACGATTTATCGGAAATTCTAGACAATGTATAATTTCATGTAATCCTATATCATATAATCAGGGCAAGTTTTTATATACAACGATAACCTATCAAGAAAATGAATCACCTTGACCAGACATTGAATTATCTTAGCCATGCAATGTATCCGAAACAACTAGTTGGAATACAGTGCTGGGTGCTTTGTGCATGGTATTTGTTTGTTTGTTTGAGTGGTTTTATTTCCGCGTCACTACCAGGCGTAAACCACTCAAACAACCAAATACCATGCATAAATCACCAAGAATAGTATTCAAACCGGTAACACTGGTACCGGCATGATATTTCATTGGAGTTGCACTTTAAATTTGGCATCAGATCCGGGAATCCACCCACGCTATCACAGGAGGCAAGAACACCAACAAACCTCCTCCTCCAGCATGCACGCAAACATGTACATTACTGACATTAGCTGTTTGTAGACTTAACTCTATAAACAAAACTAAGCAACCCCCCCCCCCCATCTCATCTTCAAGTAAGATTTGAAGGTCAATTGCCTTTTTAAAGAAACTCATATCGTATTTCTTAAAAGTGTGAGATTCTCTTTATCATTCATCTATACTCAATAAATGCATATTATCTTGCATATTCTTTAATTTATCGCATACCTGTTGAATCTTGTTATAGTAATACAAGCAATTTTCAGACCATGAAATACAACGTTCTGTATTGCACATGTGAAATAGCGGAATGTTGTATTTACCTACTAGCCGGAACTACTTTTTATGGGAATCCCCTTGTCATGGCAAACTGAAAAGTTCCCGGTATTTGCAAAAAAAATCAAAATTTATAAAAATCTTTGTATCGATCTCTACCTAATATGGAAGGTATGTGATAAAAGCAAGACCACACACTTGTGTTTTTCTAACGAATCATAAGGCACTCATTTATTGCGCGGACGTATATATATTCACTCGTGAATATATTCGTCCGCGCAATACACTCGTACTTTCTGATTCGTTAGAAAAACACTAGTGTGTGGTCTTACATATTTAGACAGCGAAAAGGAAAAGTAGGAGCAATACCAATACAACACCACTATAGCTGATGTTAAGTATTGTCGTTATTATCTATCCATTATTACGTCACAGTTTTGTTTATACACCTGTTATATATAACAATTAAATATGTATATAATGAGATATGAATTTTCCATTTCTGCTGATATACTATGTAATACTTTGTTGATTATATATTTAATCATTTTCACTCAGTAAAACCTTAATCCAAGAATGATAACAATACATATATAGATAGATATAGTAGATAATAAATAAATAAGTCATGCGAAGGAAAATATAGAATAAAAACATAAATCTTCCAGATCATCCGCTAGGCCTTTCTGACTTCTAGGGTTTCTTCAGGCGGATTGATGCTTATTTATCATCGTTGGTTACATGACGTTATCAATATTTGTATAGTCAACAATTTTAGTGACGTCATCAATAAACAAGCATAGTGACGTCACAAACAATATCAGGACAAAGAAAACATCTTCATACAAACATCTTCATACAATACATTACAAAAAGCATTGTACATCCAAGCTGACGTACATGGTTGTCAGCTTAAAACACTTCTTATACCATAAACCTCAGTAGGCCCTTTAAATAAGTGTTGTTCCAATTAATCGGAAAAATCAGCCGTTTCAGTTCCGACTGTGACTAATTGATGATGCTTTTCTATTATCAATCATGGTTTGACTTTAATATGAAATCTTTCAAGGGTTGAGATTCGCACAGACCCTTAAAACCGATAAAACTAACATCTAACAATTATTTCTCAGAAGTGTTACTATAAACTGCATTCAATCAATAATTCTGGCTTTATAATAGGTTGTTAAAAATATTCACCACATTTTACTCAATTTGGTGAATCCTTTCTATATTTTCATGTCCATGTGAGATCAATCGATGCTGATCTATCATCGATTAATTGGGGGAAAAGCGATGATTGATTATTAATTTTTAAGCGATTTCCAAAAATGCATGTACATGCAGTATGTCATGATGAATCCATGTAAAAGAACTCTCAAACAGTATTTGCTAACATGACTTCATAAAAGCACCTGGTAGCCTTCTGTAATATAATTTTTCTGGAGTTACAGTGTAAGGTCTTCTGGGGGAAAATGTATATAATATTTTGCCTATCCCAATCCAATAAAGTGTTGATTCATATCATCAAACATTGTTGAAATCAAATTTAAAGAAACATTTCAATATATCAAACAAGATCTGAATCTGTTGTTGGGAATATTGCGTGAAGGCGACTGTATCAAAATTACCTACCATTAGACCATCCAAATGTAGTTAAGTTGTAAATCTTATGAAATTGTTCGTAAAAACGAGATTCCTTCTCAGAATACTTAACTTTTCTATTCCCTGACGGCCAGTTACTCTAGGTTAAATAATGTAACATCCTGTCTCATCTGTTTACGCTGCGGCTTGGGAATTGAGAGAGCAGTGTTTTCCCTGAATATCGAAATTCAAAACCAAGGAAAAAGGGAAGGAACTTTGGCTATCTGTCAACAGTATGTGCAAATTGGGATGCTTTGCCTACATTTGTTTTATCAAACCAATGCTTGGTTATCAATTTTAGGAATCTTACACCGGAAAATAGATTACCTCTGTGTCGCCATGGTTTCTTATCATATGCGGTACAAACCATAAAAACCGGCCATACATCCACAATCGTTTTTATTCTATTCTCAAATTGCACTTTCAGAAGGATAAACAAAAGCTGTAAGATTACATCACCCAACATTTAACGTGTATTATCCCCCGCTTTAAGTACATTGATGTCGTTATTTCCATTTCGACGCTAAGCGCTGTTGAACAGAGCCAAGTATGATAGAGAGCGGTAATAGGGAATCTTGCTCTGAAAGTATCAAATCCAGCGTGTAGCGTTAGTACTTTTAATGTTTTATTGTCAAATATCTGAAGTCAATTATGTTTGTTAACGTATATATGTAAAACAGAAAATAAATGTTAGACTTGTCATTATCCCCTAAGTTCATTGCACTCTGTATTAAAGCACCGAGCTCTAAGGCTATCGTGTTTTTTTCTACGACAATTGAAGGAATCACACACATTTTCCGTTGAAATCCCATTTTGTTTTTTTGTTTTGTATTAAATCCAGACGTCTTGGTAAATAACAACACCACACTAGAGGTGTGTGTACGCAATACCTCAGTTGAACTCTCGTCAACTGTTGAGATAAACAGATAATAAATGTGTCTTTAAAAGCGACTGCATGCTTACTTCTCCAAATGTCAGACATTTTAATTTAATGTCTGGTTTAAATTAAATCTAAAAACAAGAACAACAAAAAAATAACCCGTCTCTATCTACATTCTGTAATTATAACTTATATGCACTACTTCAAATAATGTGATCGAGTGGAAAGTTATGATTGGTGCTCTCGGCGTGGCATTTCAATGAGGTAGCTTTTCACAAACCATTTACAGTAAAACACTTGTTTTTAGATTACATTGACATTCAGGCAACACGAGAACATTAAATGATAAATAACAAATCTCAAATCTCTTCTAGAAACGGTTAGTATCTCTATAATTCTAACCTACCTAACAACTGTTGGTCTGCTAAAATATATAATTATAGCCACTTTTACTTTTCAAGTTAATGACTGTCTTAACTCTTCGTTTATTACTTTCGTTTCCTTTAATATGTTTTATATACCTTTAATTTGGCCAATTGAACTCTTCTGTGTGGATGGGCCGTAAGGATATTAAAGGTTATTGTCATATTAAATGTACAGTTGTAGTTAATGATAAAAAAATATTATGATTTCAAATATGTCGTATGTTTCTCTATTTTCAGGTTACTCCACAGAATCTCACAGATTAGGAAAGCGTGGTTCTGCTAACAACAACGATGATGACGATGACGATGAAGATGATGACGACGATGACAGTAGCGTCACTTCCTGTTCGGTAGACTCTAGCAGTGAATCTGGTGAGACGACAAATATATTCCTTAATTTAAGCAGCTATTGCTTTCCTCACGCGAAAACACCAGGGTCTGTATTCATGAAGCCGTTCTCATGCTCAAGCATGAGTTTTGTGCTCAAGCCGAATGTCGTGTTCCCGTTATAAATTCATAACAAAATACTATTTATTAAATGATTTTGAAAAGAGAAATGAAAAGACCAAAAGCCGAATACTGTTTTCAATGTTTACATTTGTACTGTTGATCGTTTGACATGATTTAAGTGAGCTACAAAAAAAGTTGTGTCAAGCACAAAATCCATGCTTAAGCATGAGAACGGTTTCATGAATATGGGCCCAGGACCCATATTCATGAAACCATCCTTTGTCCAAAATCCTTTGTCACCGTTATGTACAAGATATTTGGAAAGACTGGCTGCTTTCATTGTTTACAATTGACCTATTGACCTTGTTACCTGATTAAAGGGAGTTACATGAAAGTTGGCTTAAGCACAGAATGTATGCTTGAACATGAAAGTAGTTTCATGAATATGGGCCCAGAACCCTTCCAACTCTTGCGAAAGTGCACTTAAGGCTAAATGTAACTCATTTGACGTCTTAAAAAACGACGTTAAAATGAAGTAATTTAACCAAAATATCTTTTCGCTTTTCCTAATTTTCTCTTTTTTTTTCTGGATGCCGAATGTTTTTGACGGACAATGCATCTTTATAATCTTTCTTGTGTTTGAAGCCACCGGTAATCATTGGTAATCGGGAAAAATGATGTGACGTTTTAATATCAAATAACGAGTTCACTATAATCTTCATTTGGGTTTAGAAAAGCAAGATTCACGTCATTTTCTATTGCTAAATTGACATTTGCAGTGTTGTAAAAACGACAAGAAAAAAATCAGAAAATTACATTTGATGATTTTGACTGATGGCTTTGAAAAGGTAATATTAATAATGTGTAAATGCCAGGCTTATGAAAATCCAAAATATTGTTATTCCTGCAATTCTTGGCGGAGAGTGTCGGGATGAATGTGATGATGCTAGAGTTGTACAGAATTAACATTGATTTTGATTTAAACATATTTTATTACAAATTAATATTTTCAAGATAATTGGACACAAGTTTTCACAACATATCAGAGTCCTTTTCTTCAAATACTTAAGGATTATCTTGAATATATATTTTTCATGTTACGGAGATATAAAACAAAAAAACGGAGTGTACTTTTCATAAACCGCTCCGTTTTTTGTGTTATAGCTCCATAACATGAAAAACATATTCAACTTAATCCTTATAATTTAATCTACTATACATCATCCCTGTGGAAATCCACTTTTATTGATGGACTCTTTTCTTTTAGAAATTATTGCGCTGCTGTATCAGCCAATCAAAAGCGACGTTACAAACGGCGACGTCATTTATTTACGTATGGGCTAATAACATAAATGTTTAAGCCAATGAAAATGCTTGTTACAAGCAAAATTAAATTATATGAATATAAACAATAACTTGATAAGGCAATTTACGCAATATATATAAATTATGTTTTTATATGGAAATAGAAAAAAGAGAGGAAGAAAAGACGGTTATACTAGTATTCGTGTTTTGTTTTATTTATATATATAAATATATAATATTATATAATAGCTATATTTTCAATTATAGTATATCAGTTCTATCTTCTTGTAATATGATGTATATGTACATGTAGCTGTTCTGTTTCATTGTGTCTTGACATCCTAAACTTGTCCACACTGTTGGAATTACTTCTTTGCCCCATATATATATATATATATGTACAGGTTGGAATTCCAGAACCATCAAGGTTGAACTATGGTTGACCATTGCTTTGTGTCTAAACTAATGCCATGCACATCACTTGTTACACAATGGCAATGATAAAAATATTGACGGACGTGAAATACTTCTGTAACTTAGGCGGGTGTGCGGGAACTGGCCTGCGGTATCCCACTGCATGCTATTGTCGCGTTTTATGTGGGACCACTGCAGAATCGGTGTATTTCCTCTGTGGTTTCTGCATAGGAGACAATGACAAAACCCCGTTGCAACACATGGGATCTGTATATTTTCCTTTCCCATTTTCGTAATCTTTCCTTTAGGCGGTGTCTTCCTATAGACACCCGTTTTCATCACAACCGTGGCTATGGTGAGAACGTTGAAAGCTAAACAAACAAACGCGTCTGACGTCACGTATAGTTTTGTAAACTTTCATTGAAAATGCTATTATTTGAGGTCCTATGTAATCGCTTTCGGAGAAAACAAAAAACACCAAAAGAAAATGTGGATTACAATCATACGGGCACTTCACTTTGCACGTGAGATGTCATGGTATTAAGAGACACGTGTCCCAGACAGATGTCAGTTTCAGTCTAGTGAAACTGAGATGTCAGTTTCAGTCTAGTGAAACTGACTCCGACTCTCTCTCAGGGAACATCACCTGTCTTAGGTATTGCTATGCTTTTAACCGGGAAAATGTTTAGGTAGGGATAATAGTCAATTGAACCACTTGCTAATTGGCTGATTTAGTTATGTGAGTCTTGAACAGAACGAAGTTTACGGATAAATATTTGGTTGAATCATTGGAAAGAAGAACGTAAAACTTATGATAGCACCAATACAATTTTGTAACAGATGCATTAAAAACCAAAAATGTTAGAAACACTGCTCATCGTTTGAGTAAGCGTATACAGAATATATTTAGATTGTTCATCTAAGGTTGGCGTTTTGCAGGCCATCACCAATTTATAAAATAGAACAAAAATGACATGTTTATGAAGTTTTACTCCACACGTTTGGCTAAATATAGAGCTTTATGATAAGGGTTTGATTATATTTGGTAACGTAACGTCCTCGCAACCGCCGTGGTCATATGAGGACGGGTGTCTAGGGAGACACTGCCGGAACTCAGAGAGAAAATAAGTAGGCAGGAAGCATTGGAAACGTAAGATATAAATTTCTCTTCAATGCCCTCTTTGTAGAAGAAACAGAAAAAAAACCAATTCTGCAAGGGGTCCAAATAAGTCGCCTCTTACGATACACATACAGTGTAATACTTCCGGCCTAATCTTCAATATTTACATTTGCTCTGCATCTGCATTGCATCTATCTAAAAATACCGAGGCCAGTTCCGTGTTATGAGACCATAACACAGGCGTAGTGATATCTCCACGGGACCAACTAACTACCGGATAGCTATTCTTCTCCGCACTAGTAAGCCGTAAGAAAAAAAAACCTAGCTATGATTCAATATATTATTCACCTTTTTATGTAGGCTTATTATAAAATGTAAATTGAATATATTGATTGATTAAATTATTGAAATGGTATCGACATTTTGTGTTTATTTCCACGGACTCTATTTTTTACGGGAAAAGTCACGAGACAACATTCCGTGAGCAAGTCCATAGACTGTTCTACCTCTTGAACAAACACCGCGATATTCGAATTTTAAAGCGCGTTGTGAACTTAGAAATGAACATTTAAATGCAAATATAAGCATAAAACAGCATCCTGTTCCGTGTTATGGTCCTATAACACGAAACGTAATGCTGCTTAATGCTGAAATGTCCCATAAACAAGACAAGGAAAAGAACACCCCCGATTCTGCGGGGGTACTTAATGATTACAAATCTATCCGAAACCCCATTCGTAACATACTATTGTGCTTATTCCAAAGGTAATATGAACGTTTTCTTTTACCATTTTACGTAGCAAATTGGTCTATATTTGCTGGTCTTATTGACCATTAGCATCAATATAAAACGTGTCTCCGGTGGGTGCAGAAAGGGTGATTGTATTAGCGTTTAAGTGACGACTCAGTTCGGATCGTATGAAAAAGTCTGTAGATGCTTTAGGATTGTTTTCCCTTGCGTAAATCATGGCACGGTTTGAAAACAAAATATGTATTCTGCTGATTTTGCTGTGTATAACTCGCTTCGGAATAGAGCTCTCGCGTCTGCAAAGCAGATTCCCCATATGTTGCGGTGTGCGCGGTATTCTAGTTGTTTGTCAAAACGATACCGCTAATTGGATGTCGGTATTTCCTATAATTGGCTCTCGGAACAGGAAACATGAATAACCGTGAACATTTGATAATGCTTTCTGTCACTATTAGATTGTTTATGACGTGTTATGTCTAGTAATTATTCTAGATCAATATCCTCATATAAAATATAAATGATGTTCATGTCTGATAGTAAATAAGCATTTTCATGACAAAATATCGATTTTTCTGCTAGCAAGATTTAGCAGGATAATTAAAAAAAAAAAAAAAAAAAAAGTTCGTAATTATCTATACCTATAGATCGTGTATATTCATTAAATGAATTTGAACACAAATGATGTCACGATTCGATTATCATGTTAATTATATATTTGTTAATATGACGCTTTGGATACCGCTTATAATAACAGCAAATACCTTTTATCGCCAAAGTGCCGTCAATTTTAAATTTGTTAACATGACGCTTTGAATGTAGTTTTTAAATAACACTGAACAGCTTTCAATCAATCGCTCAAATGACCATGATTGTTAGTCAAAGACTTTGGTGTAATATATTTCATTGACGTTAAATATGATAAAGTGATTATCATAAAACACTTTAATTTAAATAACATGGTTTATTTCGAATTTAAATATAAGGAATAAACTGTTATTGATTTGTTGGTTTGCCTAAACAAGTGTTCATGTAGCTAGTTTTATTCAGTGTAAATGTGAATGTGGATATTTGCGTTCATAACACTTAACACTCGACGATTTTAAAATTAAAGTTCAATTTCAAAGTTTAACATTCCCTTAGCGCTTGCCGAACATGAATCAACAAAACAAAAATAAAAATAAAAATATATAAATAATTTAGCCGTAACACAATTTCAATGGAAATTTGTTTCCGGTAATTGTGTCGTTATTTACAGTTTCACGTCAGATTGATGTAACGTCGGTGAATACTGTCCGAAATCGATAAAAAGAGTGTTTATGGAAAAGCCCCCAACCA